TTTGTTAGTTAGCTATGTTCACATTTCACTTTCATCATTCATCACTCAAACTTTCTGTAATACATAAATCCTGGTTTACTCACTTGTGCGTCTGTATCTGTTTCATGGGGGTGTCAAAGGAAAGCACGGGGGAAAACATGGTGGTTTTAAGGATTATGGGTAGAGTAGTTCATGTTGGTTTGTAAGGTAGGGGGAATTGTCTCAATGTTTTGTGTCATGTTATTGTATTGGTGATGGGGAAAAATGTATTTGTTTAATGTATTGTTTGTATTTACTTATGTTGTTTGATTATGTAAGGAATGAATGGATTATTGTTCCTTTGTGAGTTAATTGATTATATTTTTGGGATGGTATGGTCGGGAGGGGGTAACTGTATTTAAGGCCTTCCTGCTCGTTATTAAAAAGAAGGCTGTGGGTGAGGCAGGACCCTGGGAAGCCAAAGGAAACATTTGGGAACTGATTGCCCAAATGTTTACTTGTAAATATTTTGTTAATTATTAGTGCTTTATTTTGTGTACTGTTTTTTTTTATTTTTCACTGTAATAAACCCCCCTTTACCCTATTTTTCTGTGTTGGCCTCTTGTGGACCGCTCGCCATCCTCACACCTGTTTACGCTCTGCTTTATATGCTCTAGATTGTGGCGGTTCTAGACCAATTCAGCTGGAGGGGCCAGACCAGTTCTTAGTTTTCTTCCTCCTAAACGTTAGGGGGGCTACAGGGGGGGCTGGGTTGTTGTCACGGGGACATTGGCCCCTCCTGGGGTTTGCTAACATCTTTTATCCTAGGTGTCAATTTGACCCAATTTATTTCGACCTCCAGTCAATGATTATAATTAAAATTGTTACCCATTTTTATGTGTCAGGTACTTTACGTTTCCTAGTTTACTACCTAAATAGCCCTTTAAATTAAACATGACCACCTCCCCCCCATCCCCGGCATACACCCAAAATACCCTTGGAAAAATATTCAAATCACCATAAAATTTCACTGATTGACCTGAAATTGGAAAGAAATACCTTTTTTTCTTGTTTTAATGGCTTTATATTATTTCTCAGTACATTTTTTTTGTTATTTATATCATTTGGAAAGAAAAACAATATCTTTTATCAAAGACAGAAACATGTATTACGTTCGGGCTCTCAAGTACATCATTTTCAATTGATGGTGTTACAAAGAGCTCAAATGCTGATTTTATGTCTTGGACATGGCTGATTGTGTATCTGGTGGGGCCTGGAACCATTTTGATGACATTAGCAGCATTATGTCTAACCTGTCATTCAGGTGGGGAGAGGGACCATAATAACTTTCCATTTTTGTAAGGTAACTTGTCTGCTGGTGGTTGAGAGACAACGGGAGGGTCAATACTAAGGCTCTCATTCTCATCAGAGGCGGGTGTCTCATAATCAGGGTCCTCCTCAACATTATCCTCTGTATCAGACACATTCTCCTCTATGTCACGTTCACCGTTAAAGAGCGGTGACAAAATCACATTGGCTCAAAAACCTTTGCTTAGAGCTCATTTTCAATTGAAAGAGAACGTAAAGCAAGAGCACACAGTGCACCAAGAGAAATGGTTTTGAAGGCTGCGGTGCAAGCTTTCATATGTTTGCTCCTCCCCTTTGTTGTGTGAACTGCCAGTCTCCTCACTGGAACCACATTTCCACACCTCAACAGTGCAGGAAATATCAGCGTTCTTGTGAAAATTATATTTCCCCCTCCCGCATATCATGTGAACTGTCATAGGTTCTCACACTACTACAGGTATGGTTATGATAGGTTAGGGGGCATCACCAGACCCTATCCCACGGGGGCACATGCCCCAGTAACAATCCGTGGTGCCCTGGTAAATGGTTGTGAAAAATAACATAGCTCCCAAGGGGGGGTTGGCCCCTGGTCAGCCTAATCAACTGAAAGTTGCTTTGAATAAAAGTGTCAGCTAAATGAATGTAAAGTAATGTAATGTAACTAGCCCATTGTAGTTGCTGATGAATTCTCCACATGAGGCTGTGAGCACTAGGGGTTCGCGCCCCAGTAGGGCCTCAAATCTAGCAACACACCCTCTGCTTTAGGGCCCTAAAGCAGAGGGAAGGTTTTTTGAAAATTATAAAATTGCATGTTAGTGGCCTCAATATCATCCAAAACAACCAAAAAAAATGTGTGAAAAATGTGTGAAAAATGTTCATATTTCCGCCAAAACAACCTGGGGTCAAATTGACCCCAGAGCACACCGATATGTGCAAAATGTGTACAGGACATTGAAAACATTTCATCATGTTCATTTTATGTTCACCCAGTTGTCCCCATTAAATTACGAAAAGTCATGAAATATGAGGCAAAAAAACAAAGTCAATAATCCATTTGGAAAAGTGAAACATTGAATGCGGTCACATAACCGCAGGCAGCTGGTCACCCAGACAGGACTGGGAGACCACCGGTCACCCAAGCGGGGGCAAAGACAACTGCTTACACGAATGGTTGAAGAAGAGTAATTTGTGGGATCAGACCTATCTTTCAACTGACACAGCGTTGACAGACATACAGCCATGCGCATTTTGATACTGACAAAATGTAACCATAGATATAATGATGTAGACACAACCTGGATGCAGTAACCTGGAAGAGGTCGGTCTACTTTGGGTGTAGTTCACTGCTAGACACACAAGGTGGCAGTCTATTCCTTAAAAAAATGGTTGCCATTACCACTAAGGCTGCGTTTCAGTACTTTTTCTCGTCTCCTCCTTTCCTCCACTCGTTTCCTCTCCTCCTTTCCTACCCTGGAATATGGCGGAAAAATGTGGAGGAAAGGAGGGGAAGAAACGAGTAGAGGAAAGGAGGAAAGGAGGAGATCAATTTTACATTGGTAAAATTACCATTCCTATCTCAAAAACGTGAATATATCGCGTCAATGTGGATGTGTCTGAAAACGCAAAACACCAGTTTTCCCATTATTGTAAATTACCGGATTACTGTTCACTGTTCTGGCACTTATCCTTCAGTATTGGTAAATCCCTTATCATGTTTTAGATATTTTCGATGGTGAAATATTCAGTGGGATTGTCTTTTAATCTGACTGGTCATGAGCACAATGATATCACCCAGAAATGTGAAAAGACTTCCGCGGTAGGATACATCGATGTATCCTTCGTTTGGAGGAAACGAAGAAACAAAAAAGGAGGAAAAGAGGAGGCGAGATTTCGTTTTGGAACAGTGGAGGGAAGGAGGACACATAATTAACATAAATAACAACATGCTGCTTGGCTTCCAAGATCAGGCGCATTCCTAAGCTAGCTGAATTCTTATTGTAAGACTGGCAGGAAAAACTTTGCTACATAGACTTTATTGTTCTCCAGGCTGACGCCGATAGTTACAGCAGCATTTGCTCTAGCTTTATACATGTTTTTGATGACGTCACAGAGACTGTATGGCTAAATTCCATTAATGTCAATGACAGTAAAGTGTGTGCATGACTCCCATCTCGCACTGGCAAGCAACTTCACATCTAACTACATATTAATGACACTGAATGTCACGGAGAGCTTTACTAGTAGGACAAATAAACACAAAATTTAACTGTGTGGTACTGAAGAATCGTATCAAGTGTAAAAATACCTAGACACCGTTGTGTACGATTTGCCTCCCTAGCCGAGTTCTCACTACTCACAATGCAACTCCTAAACCTCTTTGGACAGCATGCAGCTGATATACACTCGGTTTGCTTACAAACAATTAAAGAAATAAACTGATGAACAGTGCTGTGGCCGCTGGCAGCCAACACTGGAGCTTCCCAAGTGCCATGGCCGGCTCGCTCTCATCGCTTCAAAGTATAGTGTCCATGAGTCCCATCTTGCACTCGCAAGAAAAAAAGTCAAAAAGAATAAATGCTGATGTATTCTGGGAAGCTTTGGTCAAGTGGCTAGGTTTTGTTAAGGATAAACCGTAAACAGAAGTAGCTGTTTACTTGTGAACAAGCCAGTGAAATAGAAACTAGTCCTATCGCTGCTTTCTGCTTGCTTCGGCAGCACATATACTAAAATTGGAACGATACAGAGAAGATTAGCATCACCTCTGCGCAAAGATGACAAGCATATTGGTGAAGCGTTCCATATTGTTATTCCTGGTTACATGGAGTTTCCAAAACTTTACAAAGGGGCATTTTCAATGAATTCAAAACAGGGTATATTTACAGCAGAGGAGAGATATTTGAATGAAGCATCCATTTATTCATATTACATTAGATACATGCCACTGAAAGGGATTTATATCCACTAAACATTGATATAGTTACATCGGGTGACGCAAGAAACTCAAACAGTCGCGTATGACTAGGGTTAAGCGTAAAATGACTCCTATGGCCTATGGTTGGGGTTATATCATACACAAGTCCCAAACACATGTAAATCAGCCAGGATGCTGCTCATCGAGTGCAATGGATAAGAAAATGACACTTGCGCTGCTGCTCTTGCAACTATCATGTAGGGTTGCACAACCACACTGGAGGTGAAGTGCGGAAGGAAGCCCATACAAATTTTTACCCCCATGCAGGGTTTTGCATGACACTGGGACCATGTGGGGGTCACGTGGGTCTCCCTGCTGGTGGAGCATGGGAAAGGATGGCCCTTGATGAGGGCAGGCTCCTGGAGAATGCAGGCATTGGCCTCTTGTATGCTAAGCGAGCGCTCTACCATGTGATCTAATTCCCCACTGCCTGTCTTGTTTTCTCCTCCGTCCCTTGGATCTCTGCACGACCTTCCAAGAAGTGGCTGGATGGGAAAGCACTTTTTAGGAATCGGCGCCCCCTATGGCTGTCAGCCCATGGGTTCCATGGTGTTACGGTTAGCACTCTGGACTCTGAATCCAGTGATCTGAGTTCAAGTGTCGGTAGGACCTTTGCTCTTCTACGGTGCGGTGTTTGGATGCCATGTGGCTCCATCGTGTTCTGCTTTTGGGTACACGTTTCCCTTTTTTGTTGCAGTTGACTGCACACATAATGCAGTGCGCTGGCTGGTTAGCTCAGCTGGTTAGAGGGTGGTGCGGTGCTAATAACGCCAAGGTTGAGGGTTCGACCCCAATATGGGCCAAGGCTTTTCGGTGGTAGTATGTTACATTTTATGCTCAAAAGAAAAGGCAAGGAAGGCTGTCCCCGTGACAGACTCACCACTATACTAAGGAGGAGGAAAGAAGGGGAGGAAATAAGTGGAGGAAAGGAGAAAAGGAGGAGATGAATCAAATATTGGAACAGCTAATCTGATTCTCCCGTCAACAAAGTCGATGTTGGCTATTGATGAAGTAGCCCTATCATAGCTTTTGCCCGATGCCTAACCCACAAACCGTGCCTTAGCCAATCGCTGGTCCTACACAAGACAAGCCCTTTTAAAGCTGCAAAACAGGAGTTCAAAGTCCAAGAACCTACACGAACACAGCAAATTTACCATGTTCCAGTGTTAGCAGTGTTCACACTGAGGATGCCTCCTTCCTTCCCCCATAGCTACACCCACAAACGGCTGTGCTCCAAAGCAGATACCTTTGAAACACATCTCCGCAGTCGCATATAACTAGGGTTACATGTAAAACGACTCCTATAGCCAATGGTTGCGGTTATGTCATATGCGAGTCCCACAAACATGAAAAGCAGCCAGGATAATGCTCTTGGAGTGCAATGCATAGGAAAGCAGCACTTGAGCTACTGCTCTTACTGCTCTTGCAACTATCACGTATGAGAAAAGTTATGCATTCGATCACTCCTACTGTTTGGCTTATGGCTTGGGTTGCATTATATGTTGTATTATGCATATAAATTAGGCAAGATGTTGCTCTTTGAGTGCAATGGATAGGGAAACAAGGTTTGAGATCCTGCTCTTGCCTACAAGTGAGAACATCCCACGATTGTGTGTAGCTAGGGTTACACTTAAAAGACACATGAAACACATTAAAATCAGCCAGGATGCTGCTCTCTGAGTGCAATGGATAAGAAAACAGCTTGATAAAATGCATTATAAGGAATAGAAAGTGAATGCCCATATTTCTCCCCAGGGTAACCTGTGGTTCATGTGGCATTTTCTGCTCTGTAGGCATCACGGGGTCAGTGTGCTCTTTTCTGAGAAGCACAGACACCTGATGAAAGGATTTGAGAGGTAAATTCAATCCGATTTCAGATTATGGAATCCCATTTTATTTGTACTTTTTCTTTTTTTCTTATCAAACACCATCCAAATCCTGTTAATTTGGTCTTACCGGGAATCTATACTTTGTAGTTCCCATTTGTGACCAAAAACAACATTTGGCTGGCTAGAGTAAAAATAAAAGTATACTCCACACACACGCACGCACGCACGCACGCACGCACGCACACACGTACACACACAGCACACACACAGCTCACTGCATTGCAAGGCCAGACATGTTTTACTAGTACAAGTCTGTACATCATATGCACCACAATACGTAGAACACTGTGGTGTTCAAGATAACTTCTGTTTTTCATGAGATGAAAAGTTTTAACAAAGCAGTTTTGTGTCCAGAAAAATAAGTCACTTCAAACTGCAAAGCTCCATAAAAAAAAAAAACTCAAGACTCACATTTAGCTTTATCCAAGCCCTCCATTACACCAAAATCAGCTACATCCTAGCTACATCAGCTACATCCATCTTTTAAAGGTTGTCAGTGCTGGCTAGCAGTGTTCATGGTATCTAACATTAGGGTATACAGCCATGACATAAGTCAAATAGCATTATCTAGTTTTGTTCAAATTTCTAGATACCACACATCTTATGACGTGTTGCTGACATGTGACACTGCTTTTCCACCAACCACATGGTGTAGCTGATTTGTTGAAAGACATAGTGTTAGCTAGATTAATTTTAATTAAAGGTACACACTCACTGTAATAAGTTTTAAAAAATGGTAGTGCTTACCAACAACAGTACAGTAATATGAGAGATTATTTGAACATTATCATTTTAATTTTTGTTTAATGACCATTATTCTACCAATAGTCTAGTAGCCAGTCCTATAAGGTTTTTTTGATTGGTATCTAATCTACAGGTCATTGGGTGCTACAAGTTGATGTTTGGGCAATTTGCATAATTAGGCATTTTTGCCAGATTAAGAGATAATTATACTAACTTTGGTCTATATCAACACAGAATCATGTATTTTGTCTATACCAATGCTTTTGACCACCAGGAATTCAATTCAAATGAACATTACTTTTGATGGATCCAACCACTTATTATCACACATATTAAGTTAATATGCAAGTATGGTTAATTGTTATGCGTGCAGATACATTTTCGTAACCTTGCCCTATATTATTTTAAAATGCATCAATGAAACCTAATGTTTTAAAAGTATAAATAGGCTACATTAGAACAAGTTGATAACTATAAGGCAGATGTTTTCTTTGAGGGCACATTTTAATAAATTATACAGACAGGTGGATCAGTGGAGTCCTAATTCGTGAAAGTGTGGACACCTGGTCAATGAAACTAAACCATTTGATAAACAATGAAATGTTTTCTATCAGGTTTCAGGTTTGCTTGATATTAAAGTTTGACTGAACACCACTCAGTTTTTATACAAGACAATTTGCAAGTGAATGAGTGTAAAGGAGTTAAACAAATTTTCAACATGAAGCAAAGAAATGCTTTCACTTTTGTATGTTGTTTTTAAATGTGTTTTTATTAAAGTGGCACAATCTGATAAAAAAAAAATAATGATTGTTTATGGGCTCTCAAACGGTCAGCTGAGGACTTGTTGCATTTGGGCTTGGGCAAAAGAAAACAACACAGCCCATTTACCACCAATAAATCTCACATGGAAAAAATCCTTCAAATACTCTGACTTTTCCTCATTAAGCTTACGCCCATATTTATAACAAAATCTCTGATGTTTTACATCGTATGACATTTCAAAACAGGGTTGCACTGCTGACATTCTGCCAGAGTGGCTAACATTCCTTTGGATATGTGCGTCCCAAAATGTTTCATTACTGCCTTCTCCTCTGCATCTGACCATTTCTTTTTGGTCCTCCTTTTCGGAATCTTGTTCCCTTCAGTTTCAGTATAAACTGTAAAATAAACACTTAAACCATGAATACAGACAAAATAAAAAGAAAATGAAGGAAATGTAACTTAATTCTGTTGTATATGTAGTTTGTAGTTGTTCATGTTCTAGAGATTATACACTGATAAAGTACCTTCATAGCTGTGAAGAAGTGACCCTTCCCTAAAGCTTTTAACATTAATTGTACCTGGTTAAGAAACTGGCAACACCTGACTGACATCAGGTGTAATTGGTGGTGAAGCCTTTAAAAGTGGCAGTAGGAGAACAGAAAGAGAGATGGAAGGACTGCCACTTGTATGTGCTTGTGGCTTTAAAAGAAATTATTGGTTTTACCAAGTTGATTGTACTCAGTTGTTTTTAAAGCCTTTTTACAATAGCGATTGGCAGTCTCTCCCTTATCAGCAGAGTCTTGTGTTGAAAACCAGAAATGAAATGAATATGAACTATTTCAATGTTTTTGTTTTTTCATTTAATGAATACTTAGAAAATCCTAATTATGCTATGCACTTTCCATTCTGGACAATGACATCTGAACCATCCCTCAAAACAATGAGTCTATCTTGATAATATATACAAACTATAAATAGGTTTTAGTTGTACATGTTCAAGAGATTATACACTGACAAAGTACCTTCAGAGTGGTTTGGAAGTCTCTCCCATATCAGCAGAGTCTTCTGTTGAAAACGATAAATTAAATGAATATTAACCATTTGAATGTCTTTGGATGTTTTTGTATGTAGAACTAATTTGCAGACCGTGGAAGGCGGAGTCTTCCAGCAGGTGCTGTAGCTAGTGGCAATTCTGCAAGCCTCCCAGCACAATTCTGAGAGATCCTCCCCCCAGGCACTCCCGTGCTTGTAACAGGGGCTGCGTTCCAATACTCAAATTCGTCTCCTCCTTTCCTCTCCTCCTTTCCTCCGTGCCCTGGAAGCTGATTATTTGTCCTCCTTTCCTCCACTGTTCCAAAGCGAAATCTCCCCTCCTCCTTTCTCGTTTCCTCCAAACGGAGGATACATCGATGTATCCTACCGCGGAAGTCTTTTCACATTTCTGGGTGATATCATTGTGCTCACGACCAGTCAGGTTAAAAGACCATCCCACAGAATATTTTTATTGGCTTTGGTATCTTCAGAGTCAGTCGAAATTATTACTTCATCAATAGCCGACATCGACTTTGATGACAGGCGAATCGGATTAGATGTTCCAATTTTCGATTCATCTCCTCCTTTCCTCCACATATTTCCGGCATATTTCTGGGGTAGGAAAGGAGAGGAGGAAAGGAGGAGACGAGAAAAAAGTATTGGAACGCAGCTTGACATTTCAAATAGCTTTCATGGCAGCTAAGATCACACAAACATCATCTTTATAATAGTATATTTATAATAAGGCTATAATGAAGATTTTTAGCATTTCCCGTCTCAGTAACCACTTAATACCATTCTTCATGTGCGATGGTCATTAGCATCTTCAGATAACTCAATATTCACCACAGTGCACAAAATGCAATTTTTTAAATACTGGATCTGGAACACACTGGTTTAACCCAAAGATCACTACCATGCAATACATACATACAATTCAGTGGAACTATCATTTAAAAAACACTACCTTTTCAGCATCTCCCAATGGAGTTATGGGAAAATGTCTCTTGGTCTCAAATTGGCCTTTTTCAGTGGTCATCTGCAAACAATGTTTAAGGGAAACAGTTAATTGAAAAATAAACACCAAATACAACACAACAAAACACAAATGATACAGTCCTCTGCTCAACTGTCTTCCTATTCAAGATCAACCAAATCTCAGTCAGAACTGAGGCTGCAAAATGGGCTACACAATAGGGCTGAACACTATGGACATTAAATTGTTTTGATGATTATTATTTGATTATTTTTCAACATACTGCAATTGCAATACAAGGTAATTCTCTCTACATACAAAATAGAAAGTAACAAAAATCCAAAATTGCAGCCTCCGCATGACATGTTCAAAATCACAATTTCAATTTAATTTTAATGAA